AAGAAATATAGTGCACAGTTACTCAAATGTCAGTCCCACCGCGTTCAGCAAGACTTACTTCCAGAAAAGTGTGTTTGGGATAATTAAAAAGTCAGGAAAAAGAAGAGTTCAAACTGGATTATCTGCCTTCATGTACACATTTGGGTGAATATTAGAGGAACAAGAAATGACATTGCTACAGGCATACGCTACAGGCCTGTAGTGTGAGATGCTCATCATATGCCCTTTTCTAATCATTATATGCCGCTTCATCAGAAGAGTAACTACTAAGGGACTTTAAAAGCTCTCCATAAAAGGCTCACCTGTTCCATTTTTGAAGATGGAGGCCAATTTCTCTTCCTTTCTACTGCTGCCTCCTGTTATTTCCTATGGGCTAAGAAATTCAGAAACTATCTTTTGTAAAATATTCCCTGGATAAAGACCGTAGCTCAGTAAATACTGCATACATGCAAAAGATCACAGGCTCAATCTCTGGACGTCTCTAAGTAGGATTGGGAAAATCTCTCCAAAAACCTGAGGTACTACTGCCAATCACTGCATAGACAATACTGAACTAAATAGGCTACTTGGCTTGCACACCCTCTTTGTCTAAAAGAAGATCTGTTGTGTCAGCTATAAAGAAAATACTTCCCATTATTTTAGAAAGAGGAAATCAAGCAGGTGGGAAGCAATTACAAGTGCAAGCCTCACAGCTGACAAGTTAAACTATAGGCATTTTAGAGAGGAGGAAAGGAACACTAAACAAGGAAAAAAACAACAGAGTTTCACCAGAAGTCCTTGGTAGGTTCTGACTTACCCTGCCAATACAGGAAGCAGCTCGGATACAAGCAACTGAGGGGGCAGGAGCCTCAAGGTTGCACCCCTTGTTGATTTGGGGTGACCCATAGCCCGGTGAGGAGATTCTGCTTCTCCCTGAGGGTCCTCGCCTGAATCCGACAGCCCTTTTTGCTCTGCAAGGGACTGGGAGCAAAGAAGAACAACAGCCCTTCAGTGCCAGGCAGCAAAAGGACAGAGGGGGATCCACTAAGGGCTTTTCTTCCTAGACTGGGTCAGTAACGATTCTGTCACTATCATAAACGGATGGGTGTTGAGATTCAAGTACATATACCCCAATGGCAAGCAGCCTCTGTGCAATCCTTTCACCTCTTTTACCCCCATAAATCTCTGGCTTTATATGAAGCAACACTGGTAACATTTGTCAGATTTTAAGAAGACTCCCTGTTATTCACTCACAGACGAACAAGCTCCACAGGCTCCAGCCAGATTGGCAATGACTTCCAGATGTCACCAGCTAGGTTCCTTGACACTCTCCTACAAAACTGCCTGATTTCCTGGAGATGGATCTACCAAGTTCTCAAGGTCCCTCAAAACAGGGACCAGGTTTTTCAAAAATGAAAACTAGTGCCTAATCAAATAAATGACCAAAGATGAAGTCAAGTCATGTCACTTTGAAAGATGGTGATAATTCCTACACAGAGAAGGAAGGGAGGGAGGGAGGGAGGGAGGAAGGAAGGAAGGAAAAGACATTTCCAAACTATGGATGGTGAATACTAGGTTAATTCTGCTACTTTTTCCTCAGTTCTCACATATATCAACTAAAAGAACCTTGAAACTAAATTCACACAATTTACCAGCCCACTCAAAGCATACCTACGCTGAGTTATATTACAATGTACCAATCTTTAGGCAAAAGTCAAAGCAACATCCCATCAAACATATCTGGAAAACAGACAGCAGCTCAAGAGATATAATAATGGAATAAGGAATGACAAAGCAATACAAAGATATCTGCAAATTATTTTTATTTGATTTCCTCTATTTTCTAATCCAGCCTGGGCAAAATGATGGACGGAGTACTAAACAAAGTAAACATGAAAAAGAACAGACTATATTACACTTTTCTGTACTTCTATATTTTGTGTAATTGAAGAACTAACCAGCAGAAAAACTTCTGTAGGAGGAGAGACACTGCATGCAACCTTCTCAATGTTGACCCCATACATATAATTATTAACCCAACCGGATTCTATATGCCCCAAATTACAAGAAATCAGCAGTGCACTGTTTGACAAAATACAGAAAAGGGATTCCTTTATTTTGACAAGTAGGCTGCGTTATATCACCTTCCAAAACATCAAGATAAAGAGAAATTTCTGATTTCTCTCAGGGCTAATACAGGCAATCATTTTTTTCTTCTTCTACTAAAATGGGACTTCATTTCATTTCCCAAAGAGAAGCAGTATCAGAGAAAGTTTTGCACAACAGTTCAATGAATGCCTGTTCAATATGCTAAAAGTACTTGAAGTTACTTAAATCTATGAAATGTTTAGATTCCAAAACTGAAGTGTTGAACTGTCTTTAGCTATGCTTAGAAATGAAGCTATGCTCATTACTGCATAAACTTACAGATAAGCCCATTTGCAGATAAGCCAACCCTCACATTCTTAACAAAATATCATGAAAAATGTGCCACCTGCAGATAGGTCAACCCTTGACATTTTTGTACATTTTTTCCAATATATTCTAAAGGACTTTGTATCAATAAATGTTGTTTTCCAGAACAGATTCTGTTTTAAATTGGCTTATCTGAGGCGGGTGTGTTTTTCATAGCATTTTGGTTAAAAATTTGAGAGTTGGCTTATCCATGGGTATATATGGGTACTTTTAAAAACTATTACCATATATACACATAGATAAGCCCACCTAAGGATAAGCCAAACCCAATTTGGGGGGTATATTTTGTAATCTAAAATTATTGGTTTATCCACGAGTATATATGGTACACAGGGAACTAATTGCTACAAAGTCTAGAAAATGAACGAAGATGACAAATATAGCTCCTCATTGCACAGGTGAAGAAGTAAAATCTTCCCTTTAGGTATACACCATTGCTCTTATTAGAGCAGCCAGCAATCTCACAGAAACAGCTTGAGGAAAAAACAAAAGGATATTAGAATTAACATAAGACCAACACAAAAAGCCATATAATGCTAAATCCAGACATCATATTTTCCTGAGCCTGTCAACTGTAATGTTCCTATCAATAGGGTGATAATGCAAAAACATAAGAGCCTATAAAATATTAGAATCACCACCTAATTAAAAACATTCATTGGTCACATGAGTAACTTTATAACTTGATTTAATAGTCAAATTCAATCGGCATAAAAGTAAGTATTTCTGAAATAAGACGCATGCTTATTTCCTGTTAGGTTAGGTACCAACTCAGAAGAGCCGTAGTGGCAGTGTTTAGACTGCAGTATTCCAGGCTAATTCTGCCCACAGCCTGGAGTTCAATCCCGATGGGCTTGAGGTTGCCTCAGTCTTCCATCCTTCCGAGATCAGTAAAATGAGAATACAGATTGTTGGAGGCGATATGCTGACTTTGTCAGCTGTTCAGAGAGTGCTATAAAGCACTATGGAGCAGTATATAAGTCTAAGTGCTACTACTAAGTGCTAAGAGGCTTTCCTTCTTCCTTAAGAAGGAAGAATGCAATTTCACTCAATGCAATAATTTAAGAGATTTTTTTTAATGAAGTGATGCATTTGACGTCTTTGAAACTATGCATAAGAACATTTAAAGTAAACGTTGGAAATGTGGAAAGTAGAATAGTATCTATGTGGTGGGCTTGTGAATTGGCCAAAAGTTTTGGTTGTTGAACCACAGGATATTGATGAAAATAAAAGAAATCCCTTTTCAGATGAAGTCAGAACTTATTAGGGTTTATGGAAGAAGGAACTAACTAAAAAGCATGATGTCTTATTGTTGTATGTGATCACTGGGACAAGATTAATATACACAGAGAAAAGGAAAAATAAAGAAACTTCAATTGTTAAAGACTGGATATTTAAATGCAAATCCAATCTTGGTGGATATGACAAAACTGACCTGTCTAATTAGAGAGAAATCTATAGAGGCTTTAAGGATGGAGCTGGTTTATGGATTATATTATAAAAGTAGAGAAAAATAGGTTGATGGTAAAGGGTTTCATAGATTAAATGAGAGATAATGGACATTTTAAATAGTGATTATAATGGTATAAATAAATAAGAAATAGTTAATGAATCTCTAAGGAAAGTGAAGAGCTGAAATGGACATATTTAGTTTTGTATTTGTAGGTTTATGTTTCTAGATGTTTAAGTATTGTGCTTGTTAATGTTTACTTTATGTTTAGAATTTTAATCATTTATATAAGAAAAATTCCTTTGATAAGACTGATTATCAACTGAATATTTCTGAAAGGCAAAAAATGTAAGACATATAACTTGAAAATATGCCTCACAATTGTTGACTACTCTTTTAGATGATAGATTGTGGCATCTTCAGAACAAGCAGCAAAAGATTTTTCTTCAAAATCTCTGAGAATTATTATTGGGACAGTGTAGAATCTACTCTGCATAAAACTGCCAAATTAAAGAGAAGAGAGTTTCTTATAGGATTTTTTTTTAAAGAAATCAAATAATCTGATTTAATTGGCAAAAGCAGCTGAGGCAAACCACCCTTATTCAAGTACATTTATTAATAGGGATATAAATGTCTCATATCTCTCTATCGTCTGTGTTTTTTAACCAGGAGATTTCTCATGGATTCTTCTGTCAGCCATGCACCCAATTTCCCTTCTAATGCTCATATATGGGATGCTGGGGTTAGAGAAACCATATCCGGACTGCAAAAATATGAGCAGCAAAGAGTTTTTAAAATCCATTTGCTGCTGTCTAGTGGTAGTCTGCTTTATCCAGATCAGACATGATAACCCTAGATGTTGTGTAAGTTCAGGCACTGCATAAGACGCCTAAGCATATACATATTTTGGAACATGACCCGGTTTTCTCAGTAATACAAAAGAAAATCCTCAGTAGATCAATCAACACCATGTTATTCCCATTAGGAACAGCACTTGAAAAACCTTCTTGGTTTTATTCCATTTAAGCCTGAAAAAAAAAATCACCACTCTCTTGTCTCAACCTCTAAGCAAAAATATTTCATTAGCCTTCCTTACCTTCTGTGCTTTATCTTTCTGAAATACAAAGACGGGAGGTGCAATGGCTGGCTTTTCTGTGAAGAGATAAATAAAAGAGATTTTATATCGCCTAATATTGAGACATATCACATGCAGTTCTCACTCTAACAAGTGAATGCTGCTTAGTCAACCACCATCTTTCCCACCACTATTCAGGTGTGGATGAAAAATACTCTTAAAGACAGGTCAGCTGATAAGGAAGATGCTCATCTCATTGTTACCAAACTCTCTTAGTTTCCTTAGATATATCAGTAATGGCAATAAAGAATGCCTTAAAATCTTTTCAACCAATACATTTTCTTAAGTGAACTACGCAATGTAAAGCAACTGCCCTCCTATATTCACATGTATCCTGCCTAATTTCTTTAATTTTATATATTTTACTTCTTAAGGATTTGGCCTTGAAAAATATCTTAGGAATAGTTGGAACAAGTAAACAAAGTATTTATTCTTCTTTTTCATTCTAAAGGCTTTGAAGCTGAGTGATTTCAGGATTTTAAAATGTCTAATGCTTTGGGTAGATGGAAAACATCCAAAATGTGACCACTGTGTTATAAATAAGGCTAGTATCCAATGCACTTGTTTTATTGAGTCACAAATGTTTGAAGGGCCTCAAAATTATAGTCTATTGTACCCCCAGACTCTTTTAGCAGTATTACAGAATACAAGAGCAATCAAAGCTGTTATGAATCTAATGAAATAAATAAGTTTCTCCAGAAGTACCAAATATTTCAGAAGGGACAATAACTTATAAGCCCAATTAATAACGGCTCTAAAAAGAGACAAGGTAAATTCATGGAAGAGTAAACTTATTCATGGCAGTTATAATAAAGTACAGTTGTTTATGAAACAACGACATTTAGAGGCACTCTACCTCTGAATATCAATTACTTGGGAGCAACTATTTTCTTGCTTTACTAGTGGGTTTTGCAGAGGCATCAGATTAACTGTTATGTGAAACAGATGTGGGACTGATATGGCAGACCTTTCCTTGTGTTCTAATAAGCACAATATTCTATGACAAGTAAATGCAAATAATAATGAAAGACTTGGACAAACTAACAGATTTATCAATGCTATGACAGCCAATTACAGAACCTCCAATTTCAGATGTAACCTACCTTTAAATATTAAAGGCTGAAATCAGAGGAAAGTGATTGTTTCCTAAATGTAATTTGACACTCACTGATAGTCTTTGTATTGTATTTTATATTGTATTTTATATTTTGATAAACTAATAAAAATGATAAAAAAAACCTGAAGGAACTAAGATGCTATGCTAGACAAACTTCTAGGATTGATCTGATAGAACTCATTTCTCTGATTCCTTGAAGCACATTTTATTATACTTAGAAGTTTATACCACTAATTTGTCAGATAAGGTTTGATTATTCAAGATTATACAATACAGATAGTCCTTGACTTACAATCATTCAACGACCATTCAAAGTTACAGCAGCACTGAAAAAAGTGGCGTATGCCAGGTTTCACACGACTGTCACAGCATCCCCAAAGTCATGTGATCAAAATTTGAGTGTTTTTTTTAATGAAAGTTTTGGGCACATATTTATGATAGTTCCATTGTTCCAGGGTGATGTGATCCCCATTTGTAACCTTCCCAGCCAGCTTCCAACAAGCAAAGTCAATGGGGGAAGCCAGATTCACTTAACAACATGATTCACTTAACAACTGCAGTGATTTGTTTAACACTATGGCAAAAATGTCCTAAAATGAGGCACAACTCACTTAACTGTTTTGCCTAGCAACAGAAATTTTGGGCTCAATTCTGGTTGTAAGCTGAGGATTACCTGAATTATATAGATATGGCATCCACTGGTGGGTAAAAGGCAGTGGTGGGATTCAAATATGTGAACAACTGGTTCTCTGTGTGGATGCTACTTCCGGAAGTCCATTTTGGGCCTGGGCAACAAAAAATTAGCTACTGGCTCTGCCGAAGTGGTGCGAACTGGCTGAATCCCACATAGGGAAAAGCAGCTAATTATATAAATTGCTGCTTTTGAATGTGCTGCACGGTTTAATAAAAAATAAATAAAATGTGATATTATCAGCACCTACAGATTCTTTAATTTAGATCTGGAACACGATCTTCCTGATTGGGCTATTTCTGTTTTCTCTACCATTATGGCACTTCTATTTTATTACTACTTTACACAGCCTTAGCCATTCTAACCTATTACTTCATCTAGGAGTTCATGAGAATGGCTGCCTCCATCATAAATTCTTTCTGATTCTGATTGGTCTAGGTCTATATCTATCTCCTTGTCCAAGATGCAAAATAATAAGCAATTTGCATAAATTCCAAGGCATTCTTCTACATGTTTCATGATAAGCTGTAGTGATAGGCATTTACTCCTACACATCTCAGACAGTTATCTTTGAGCTTGTCCTAGAAATTAGTGGAGAAAGATAGAACTAGTGGTAGCCTGGAAACAACCGTTCACTCACATGAGATGTGAGGAGAAAAGTGTATTCCATATAAATTTTGAGGCTCTCTCATTGTAATAATGACTTTATAGATTTTAGGGAATATATTCCATTTTTATCACAGGCTGTTCTGCTGTTCTATATTTATAAAGATGCACTCATATTTTATTATTCAGATTGTCTAAGATATGCTAAACAATAAAAAAGAGCAGACAGAAAAACAGTTACGTTTGGTACTGAAGCAAGATCAGTTGAGATGCTTCATTATGCTACTTTTTAAAACATACATATATCTTCATTGGATTAAAAAAAAACAATTTTTAAATGTCATATACCACCTGGGCATGTTTATTATAACAAGCATAATGGAAATACTGCAGATTTCCACATACACATATACATTTGTGACACTATTTTCTTCTCTTTTTGCTGCCCAAGTATCAATACAAATGCAGGGCTAGTTAATCCTTGGATATCTTTATAATTCACTAATTCCCGTTGATTTTCAGACGTAGCTACTATGGGCAAATTACTGCACATAAGGGGCTATTTTACCTCAGCTAAGCACTCAATGAATGAAGTGCTTTTACCATTGTTCATTTCTAGCAGTCAGTAATGTTTCCTACCAATCTATCCATATACATCCAGATAAATTACCATATTCAAACTATTAGAAGTAGCCTAAAAATTCAGCTCTGGCAATAACAGAGTTGACAGGGAAAGTCAGAATTAAGTCCCCTCTCAATAGGTCCTTCTCAACGACACACTCTGGTCCTTCAGCCCTTAGTGATGGATTGCCTGAAATCTCCTTGGTTGATATGACTTCTGTAGATTCTCACATCTGACGTTTCTTAGAGAAACTTAAGACATATCAATATCAAGTAAGCAGAGTGGACAGAACTGGGAAACTTTACAAGCTGCCTGTTCAACCCAAGTTCGGAAGCAATTCTTTCACATAAACACGATAGATTAGTTAATTCTGCCAGGCAGATGCACTCCCTTCTACCATGTCTCCATGCACATTCAAAACAATGTTTATGTCAATAATATAAAGAAAGGAGGAAAAGCCAAGCAGAGTTGAACTCTGGGTGATGCGAATCTCCCCATTCTTAGCACAGCACTCTACAAATGCTCAGAGGCACTTTTGCCCTAGGGAAAGAGCATGAAGGATGGAGAGAGGAGCAGCTCGAGACTGCACTTTTGAGAAAGCCCTCTGCCTATGCTCAGAGACATCCTCATCTTCGCCACCTAGGGGACCGGGAGGCCGCTCCCTTTGTCCGGCCTGGCCGTAGCCCGCACGCCAGTTCTGGTGAACTGGGCAGTCACCAGACGGCCACTGAAGATATGGGATGCACCCGGCCAAAAGCATCTCGTTTCCTCTCACTCAACTTAAGCCGCTTCTTTTCCATTACTGTTACCACCGCAATCCCCCACCCGGTCCTGGCCACCTACCTTCGTTGGCCAGGTCCGCCATTTTACTTCCTTAATCACTCCCACAATACACTGCGCCAGCGACGGGCAAAGCCGCTCTGCCCGGTCTATGCGCGCTCGCGTAGGAGCAACTGGGTACGCCAAAAGGCATGCGCAAAACGAGGAGCCAGGAGACCGCTTGTAAAAAAAACAAAAAGGGAGTAGGATAAAAAGGAGGAGGAGCCACAATAAGACCCGTTGCGCATGTGCGTCTACTAAACGTTAAAATCTTATTCAAAAGGCTCCACCCACGGACGGTCTGCGGGCTCAGCAGAGGACTTTTTTACAGGGACGTAGTCGGGCGAAGGACGAGAGATAGCGGGGCGGTTCATACCCAGGTACGCATGCGCACTGCTTGCTTCCACCCCAGGAACAGTAGCCCATAAAACTCGAACACCCGGTGGGAAGAGGCGGGCGCATGCGTATGGGAGAACGTTCCGTCACAGAAGAGGCCGCGCCAATGGGCAAAAGGCGGCAACTGTTGTATCGCTCTTTATTTTAAATACAGCACATGGTCAGGTCATGCCATGCCATGCCATGCCAACTGCTGCATAGTTAATAATCTTAGCGAATTGTTTAATTCGCTATTAATGATATACATCTATATTACTATGCTATTTTATTTATATATGCAGATATAATTATATCTACAAAATATATACATATTTATTAATATGTCTATGATAATTTATAATATATTTTATTATGATGATATTAATTGAGCAAAGGAATCGTAGCATATGTTTTCATTAACAATATTTTATCCCTGGTGTAACAAATTTTAATAATATAATTATATTAGGCTAAATAATAATCCACCCTCAAGGAAAAAAATAAAGGGAAGCATATGTTAAAATATATACCTTATATAAATAGTACAATTAAGCAGTTGACAGCAACAATTAAATATGAGCTAATGTAAGATATATTTTTGCTTCTGTCTTTAGTATGCTCACGTGATAATGGAAATATTTATTGAAGTGACAAATATCAGAACAACATAATGGATACTATCATTTTCATTCTAGCAACCACTTATTTATTAATTTATTATATTTTTCTCATTTTCAATTCAGGAACTCAAAGTGACCTGTTTATACATTACTTTCTTCTATTTTTTCCCCACAACTGCAACTTGTGAAGTTTAGTCAAGAGAGGAATTGGTCTTAGGTTACTCAGTGAGTTCCCATATCTGAAACTGGATTGGGTTTTTCCTTTTCCAATCCAATACCTTAATCGCTGTAGCACACTATAATATTTTTATTATTTAAGTTTTAATTTTTATGCTTTCATTATTCTGTAATGTACTCACATGCAGCACGAGAGAGAGAAAATAATAGAGAGGACATCAATATCTGTTCAATTAATTTCTGCCTTGCCTCTCTGTCAGAGAATGACAATCCTACACAAGAATGAAACAGATGGCATTTTGTTCTGGGCCTTATAATCTCAAAATCATTACTAAAATTCACTGTTGTTGTGACCATAATGTCAAAACTGAAAACAAGACAGCAGTTTACTTTGAGAAAGGATTTTTCATAGATCTGTATTCAAAGTATTAAGACATGATGACATTCAGTGAGAATTCACTAGGAACATAGGAAGACACTATTATCCAGTTACCTCCTGTCAAACTGATAGCAGCCTTCCAAAGCTGCAGACAGATTTTTGCTATCTGTAGGAGTGGACAGACTGCAAAAAGCAGCCTACTCACTGTGTCCCAGAATATCCACGTTATCCTCCTCTCCTTCAACATAACCCTACTTATCCTGCTCCTGGCTATCTGAGCTGGGGCATCTGCCCACATGTGCTCCCTCTATGATGGCAATGATGACCTTTGCCTTCACAAAGGAATGGAGTCATGAAGGAAGGGGAGGTGGGATTGATGACATCATGCCTTCTTCTGGGTCAGTGCACCCTTTCACAGCCTTGGTGTTTTAACAAAGCATAGAGAATCTTGTCTTCTCTCTTCTTCCCAAAGGACACAAGATATGAAGGAACCTTATCACATCAGCCTAGTCAGTTTGTTCTCATCACAATGAGCTAAAGCAGGCTTCTCAAACTGGGGGTTTCCACATGTGACCTTCCAAAATGCCATGTCAGTTTGTTTTCTGTATGTTCTGAATTACAGGTCCAATAGATCTGGTGGGAACCTGGCCTAAAATAGAGTAATCTATGTACAATAATGTTTTTTTATACAATAACGTTTCTCTGTTGACTGTGCTGGCACTAGTTCTGTATTACCTATATCCCTGACATGCATCAACTATATAATGGGTTATGTTTGTCATTTTTGTATTTTGTTAGCTGTATTATATAAGCTGACTAGAGTTACAGGTAGTCCTCAACTTACAACCATTAATTTAGTGACCCTTCAAAGTTACAACGGCACTGAAAAAGTGACTTATGATCATTTTTCACACTTAATGACCATTGCAGCATTCCCATGATCACATGATCAAAATTTGGGCCTTGACAACAGATATGCATTTATGATGGTTGCAGTATCCTGGAGTCATGTAATCTCCTTTTGCAACGTTCTGACCAGCAAAATAATGGGGAAGCCAGATTCACTTAGCAATCATGTTACTAATTTTAACAACTGCAGTGATTCACTTAATAACTATGGCAAGAAAGGTTGTAAAATGGGGGCAAAGCTCACTTAACTGTCTCACTTAGCAACAAAAATTTTGGCCTCCGTTGTTGTTGTAAGTTGAGAACTACCTGTTTTGTTGAAGAATTTAATAACTTGCTTGGTGTAGTGGATAAAGGTGCTTGACTTGAAGCTTGGAGGCTAGGAGTTCTAGTTCTCCCTTGGGCATGGAAGCTGCTTTGGGTCACTTTGGGCTATTTTTTCTCTTTGACTAGCAAGTTGAAAAAAGTCTTATCAGCCTGCAGTGTACAAACATAGTAGATTACCTTCCGTAACCTTCAACGAAGAAGGCTTTATTCCGCAATGGATTGATTCAGGCTAATAATAATATATAATTGTAAAACAACCATATATTTGTTCTGATTTTTTGGAAAAGACCTATAATGCTGGACGATACTCTGCTTTCTCATATTATTTATATAATACATTTTTTTGGAGTAACCCATTTATGTTCGCCATGACTTTGGTTATAGGTTGCAGCAAATGTAATAAAAAAAAATAATTGGGCTGAGGTGGGAAAGAAAGATATGACTCCAGATCAGACCTCTGTAGGAGGGATAATATATTAATATATTATTTTATACATGCATTTATGAAATGAAATGTTTGAGGAAAGCTGCTGGAGTGACCAGAAGAGATAAAATCAGAAATGAGATCATAAGAGAAAGACCTGGCATAGAACCTATCTTAAATTACATACAAAAACGGCAAATAAAATGGTGCTCACCTGGAAAGGCTGTCATGAAATTCCATACTATTCAAGGCATATCAAAGAACAAAAGGCAGAAAATGGAGAGACAACATCAAAGACAAGCTACAACAAAATCAATTAGCAATGGTTGGGACCGCCAGAAGAACAAGAACCAGAGTTTGTCTCTCCTTAAACACCCAAAGAGGAAGAAGAAGGAGGAGGAGGAGGACAAGATCTACTAAAGCGTCCACGAAAGAGACTTAAAACAAGATGGATTGATGACATCAGCATTGCGGGCCCAATTGGCAAAAGTAAGCTCAGGACCATATAGATTGGAAACATGCAGAAGAGGCCTTCATCCTGCATTGGATAGACAATGGCTAAAATGATGATGATGATAATATATTAATTGGAATAACCTTCCCCAAACTGTTCACTAGTTCACTACTAATAATTCTGTGGGAAGTCACCCCCCCAGAGAAGGAAATATTAAAAAGGCAGAAATATTTCCTCAAAGGATCTTAAAAAGGCAGAAAAGCATGCCCAGTTTTTCTTAATAGCCCCAAGTCTCCCTCCCCCAAGCAGAAACGAGCTCTGTAGAAATGCAGATATCATAATCCTGTCAGAAAGACGAGCCAGGAAGCTTAGAGCTGATGGGATTAGAAAGACAAAGCTCCCTAGAACTAACAACCCCTCACCCCAAAAAAATCAACACAGGACATAGCCATCAGCCACAGCCCCAGCAAGCAGGATATGACCTTTAGGACATAATAGGATTAACAACGCCATCAGAATACCAGAAAGGCACATTGAACCTCAGATCAAAATTCATGCCACAGGAACAACTCCAAACACAAAAGCCCAAGAAGGTATAAAAACCCACCACTCCCTGCTCCATGTGGTCAGCTTTCCCAGAGTAACATTGCTGTCTGGCTCTGCTCTTTAATAAACCACAACCTTCTTTCTAAAGCAGTCTCCATTTTGTTTATTCCCGGCTTGGACTGGACCCTGATGAAGATTTTTCTTTCAACAATTCTAAACTGAATATGTAAGAAAAAAGAAAAAGCCATGTCACTGCATGTAAAAAATATCTTACAATCTTTCCATTTGGTGCTTCTGAGATATATTGGATGGCAACTGTCATCATGCCTGAATGGAGGATAATGGGAATTGTAGTGCATTTATTGGAAATTATGGAGTTGTAAGTGGTGGCACACACACACACACTATCTGAGTGTCTGGTGGTGTGTAGAGCCAAAACACTTTTCTATATATTTGAATAATGATGGAGCTATGGAGGTGCTCCATAGCTGTATTATTTTCCTTTTCAATCCTTCCTTTGCCTTCCTCGAATCCTTCTTCGTGGTTTTGAAAATGTTAGATATGTATAAATAATTATTTATTCTGGAAATCTATATGCTTATCAACCTCAGCAACTTTAAACTGTATGGACTAAATACTAGCATGCTGGCCGGGAGCTGAAGTTCACACACCTGAAAGTTGCCCAGACTGAGAAACGCTGGAGTAGAGTATGAACGGCACCGCTCTAGCCACTCTCTATAACTTTGGGAGAAAGCATCCTAGGTTTCCACGGTAACCCTGAACCGACTCGGGAAGTGATATTAATTACTTCCGGAGGACAACCACACAATTTCTGCAATGAAACTGGCGGGCTTTCGGCTGA